ATTTGGTAATGTGATAGCAATCGCAATTTTATCCACCTAATCTGTTAACATAGAAAAAAAATAGATCACTGCGTCTCTGAAGGATAAGAAACTTCCACAACATCAAAGTACTACTTTTAGAAGTTGCGCAAATACCCCACTTACACACAGGGATAACATGGACAGAACAATATTTAATTACTCACGATTAATGATGCTGTTTAAAACACATAATGTAAAAATCACGAAAAAAAATATTGTTTTTACAAAACAAAACTTTATAGATCTGTAAGTAATTTAATTAAATGTGCTTTTGTGACTGTAAAGGCAATAAGGAAAAAATTATTTAAATTCATTAAGCACGATTTATTTAGCAGAAATTTTAATAGATTTCATCTTTTTAACTTGCCTTTAAAAAATTTTTATTGCAAGTTAAAAAAAGTGGATTCACAACTAATTAGAAAGCTCCCACCATAATTAAATGGACAATGAGGCAAAATTTTGACAACATTTTTAACTTAAACAGCCTTCTTTATCCTGCAATAATTTTTTGAATATTCTTTACTTTACATATATACTCTAAGTTACTTTTTTCAGTTTTGCTTTGTTTACCTTAAGACAAACAATCATTTAGAGTACTTTTTCGATTATCGAATGTCTTTTGTCAATTTTAAAATTTTACATAACACCTTTTAGTGCTTTACTCCTTTAATGGATGAAAATATTTTGCTTAGCAGCAAAGGCATTGACAATAGTTGGATTATATAGCCTTTATCGGTCACACAACATCTATATGTTTGCAGAAGGGACATAATTATACTCTTCAGCAAATCACTTTGTCTGTGGCCCTACTTTAGGAGCACGGTTTTGTTTTCACGAAAAAAGTGGATCCAAATAATGTTTAAAAGCCGGTAAAAAATAAAAGCACGAAGAACTATTGAAAACGAAAGAAAGAAACAATGCCTTTATGACAGATGACAGAAAATTTTTACAATTGTGTATAACTCAAAAAAAATTTGGTTTGAGTAAGCATTGAAATTTTAAACCATACAATGGGTTTAGGGTGTGAAATGCGCTTTGGTTGCATTTGCATAAAATGCTTGAAGAAATTCAGAACTCCCGCATAAAATAATGTCAAATGAGTTACGATGGCTTAATTTGCCTTTAACAGACATGGTATTCATTAGTTGTGAGCAGTAGCAAATGTTAGGAAAATGTGACAATAGCTTTTTTTGCATAAACTATACTAGGAATCTTAATGGCCTTAAGGGCCAAGCTATTAATCGCTTAGGTTTCTTTCAGGATGACCTTTTTTTACACAACAGGTTCTAGAAGCATGAAATGTTTAGGAAAGATTTAGCAAAGTTTTTGCACTAAAAAAGGCAAACCAGCAAGCCTACGTTAAATTTAATGGGGGGATTTCCATTTTGGCAATTTGAATAAATATTTAATTCATATTTTTTTCAAAATGCATTTCCAGTCATCTTTTAATATCGGGCTAATCCCGAAGTCTATTGATGTAAGCTGGTAATAGTTGAATAATCATCCAAGGAGCCAAGTCATAATTATGTAACCTATAGTTTATTTATTTGTCTATTTCCATCCAATGATTTTTTCCATCATTTTAATTCTCATTTAATTTACGAATCTCATTACATTTGTTTTAGCATTATATTAGCAAAGTTCATTTAAATTATACTTTAAGTATTTCTAATTAAAACAATTTATGCATCCTTCACAAATGTGTTTTACTGAGCTTTCTCATTGTTACGCTCCAGATGTAATTTTATGTCGAAGTTGTTTTTTCATGTGTGTTATTATTACTAGATTGTTTTTGTTAATAATTGCTTGTTCGTTGTTTACTTTTTTATTAAACTCATGACTTAATGTTTTTTGCCTGCGCATTGATCGCTTGACCTAGTTTTCGTGGACCCTACCGATTCTATATATTGCAATGAAATCGTTGGTATCTTTATAGTCTGTTTTCAGATTCAATAAAGTATTGTTAATTTACAACATTTTTGGCTTTATTTTTTGGAAACATTTTCATTCCATTTTTTTAGTATAGACCGTTAGCCCATTTGAAGTTACTGTTGTATTATTTGATGCTATCAAATCTCATAGGTAATTAGGCAAGTTATAAAATGTCAGCACGTATTATGGCAGTTGCTGTTATCTTTCTTTAGTGCTTGAATTAGGTGCCGTTTATCTACCGTAATTTTGGTTCGGGTTTTTTACTTCGAAATGGCTATGTTGAATTTTCGTCAATCGAAATCATCGAAGCCATCTTAATACGTAGAGAGTTTAGAGTCACGATCCCATTGGCAATCGTAAATTTTGTTATGATGTTGTATCCATATTCTGTTTGCTCCGTTAGTAGCATTTGTCTACCAATTAACTTTATCGTATTAAGACGGAACATTTGTACATCGGTTCTTCAAATCTAGGTTTGTTTCACTAATATTACACAGATTATTCATCGTAAATAACTAAATTAAAATACTGTAAAAATGGTTTCAAAAAATTCTGGACAATGCGCTTTTTTGTCTTGAAGATATATATTGTAAAAGTTGTAGTAACTATTTTATTTCGTGGATCCTGTTCTTATGTCAAGCCACAATTGAATTCTACATGCACTGGCGAACACCTTTCAATGTTTCAGTGTCTTTTAATTAAGGCTAGCTTAAAATCAGCTTCTGCTTTCCACTAATTGCCTTGAGTAATCTCAATTATGAAATTCAGGAGTAGACTTTCGGTAAAGTAGTATAATCTTATTCAACAAATTCACCACATTATTACGGATGTTTCACCTTGATTTTTTTGTTATAGATATTGAATGCAAAGCGTTGGAGAGGAACCAAATGAAGTCGATGGCAGCATTGATGAAAGTCCACGGCTAGAATCTCATCCAAACCGAAAGCGAAGCCCGCAAGCAGTACAATTAAGTCGGCAAATGGCTGCTGACGGCCTGTCGCCAGGAACTCCGCAGCACGATGTCCCCAAACGCCTTAAGCTTAGCCTTTTTCCCGACGTGGTTCGTTTTGTCGTTTTTTCGTCCATCTCAACTTTGTCATTTAATTCCTATTACTGTTCTCTTGTAACGTTTTAATTAATGAATCTGCTGGATACAAGCACATTTGCTGTCCACATTTGACGTACACTCAACTGACTTGGAATACAACCCCTCGCTATACTCACGTTCGCAGATATTCGCTCAAAGCCTCGTTTAACAGTCAAATAAGTCGCGTCTCACCTGTTGTGGTTACCAGTTTTTCACTTCCTCTTGTTTCCTAAGATGTATTTTAATTATTAGTGGCTGGTATGAGCAGCAATCTTCTTCAACCACGGCCTACACCAATGTGAAATAAACGTGTAAAATATTCAGTTACCCACTCAAACCATTACTTTTTGCAAGTGATGCATCAGCTTGTCAGTAAATACCTGCAAGGAGACTAAGTGTTGACTAAATCGTGTGATTGATTCAAATAGATTCGAGTTCCTGCCTCTGGAACTTTGTTTCTGTGGGTTATCTTTCCATTAAAAATCGGTAATTCATCATCTGTGAATGTCAAATGCAAGTCATTCATATGTATTGCTCTAATTAATCGAGAACAACATTGCGTCTTTCCATCTACGAAAGGTGGTGCGAATGGTGTTGCCTTTCTTTCTCAACAGCCACCTATCCTCTTGGGTCTAGGGCTGGTTTGTAGCATAAATTTGGTGGAACACCCTGACCACGTTCATTTGAAATCGGTTCCATATCAACGCTTTTAGCCTTTAATCTACTTTGCGTCCTATAAAATGTGCACATTGTTATGATTGGCTTACTGCTTCCCTAAACCTATTTCCTTAATTCATTGTTAAAAATCGAGAGTGGGTACATGCGCGTAAGATCTTGTGTAGTTATGGCGTCTTGGTTTGCGTCATCCGTCCATTTCTGCATTTTTTCAGTAGTTAGGAGGATCTGCATAACATGCATATCATTTTAATGCATAATTAATGCCGTCAGATTATTAATCAAATCCAGTAATATTAGATTAATACTGCTCATGACTCGTTGGATTAATCCGGTTGTCCTGGTCATTAAGTTATGTTCTACATAACAGCCTCTAAGCCCATTCACTCGCCTTTCAAACATACTTAATGGTTCATCTTCTGATTTGTCCTGTTCTTTTTTGTCTTAGCAGAACAATCACAATGCAGATGTCCTGTTAAACTTGCCACCCCCCCCACCGCCACCACTACAGTTCCATTCAGGAGCCGAAGAAACCCAAAGGAGTCTCTCTGATGACGGTGAAGACGAGGAGGATGAGGAAAAAGATGAGGCCAGGCCATCAGGCAAACTCGAGTTTCGTATTCCCAATATTAGCCAACTCGATAGGGAGGTGGGTTCTAGGCGTTTGTTTTGCATATTTAAAGTTTCGTTCTTGCTCGGTAAATAATTTACAGAGGTTAATTGGCTTCCATTAAATCACGTGTATTGCATGGGTCAAATTCTCAAAGCAATTACATCCAGATAACCAGGTAAACACAGTAGCTGGATTTTTTTTCGCTTGAAGTTTGACCGTTTCGTCTTCTAGTGCAGCGTTTTGATATTAACCAAATATTTTGAGTTCGAAGCATGCGGGCATGTAGCACAAAAATTGCACCCCTCATTGAAATGGCCTCTAAACTAAAGCAGAGCTTTTTGTTAACTTGACTTGACTTCGATTCTTCAACGATAGCTCCGCCATATTAATGTCAACGGTAGCAAAGTTAATGTCTATTACCTTTGTGCAATTTAAAACAGAAGCTCACTGAAGTTGTGACATTTTGAAAGTGGAACAAAGTCTACTTGCGAGAATTTTCATCTCATTCCCAAACTTAGTAAACTTTTCCTATAAACCGTACCAAGCCGGTGTTTGCTAACTCAAGCCTTTTCTCCGAAACCCTGTGGTCGGCAGCAAGCTCCATTTGTATTGTGGATCTTAGTTTTACGTTGCACTTCTTGCTACCGATTTTGCTAATGTATTACTGTGCTTTTTTCGTCTTTTCAGCGTGGTTCCGGCGACATTAAGGTGAGTTTGGACGCTACTTAAAAGCTATTTAACCTCTTGATTTATCACTTCTGTACCTAAAATAGTTAAAAATGCGCCAATCAAGTACTTAGATTTATACGGTACTCGTGTATTTCTTGGCTTTGCTTCTAAATAGACGTTAATTGCAAAATCATTATTCGTACGTGTCTAATGTCCTCCCATTATTCACTGATACTCCTCCAAAATTTGATCAAAACACGGTGATGGTGACGCGTGTATTTCGGTTGTTGAATTTTAACACTGGATGCTGCTTTTTTGCTTCGTACCAAATTCCTTTCTGGGCTCTTTTTAGTCTAACCATGCATGTTTACTAAACTACACATTTAATGAACTGGAAGGAATTTAATATCGGGCTTTTCGTTTAAAATAAAACTCAATTTCCTCTGCAGAGGATGAACTATCTTCAATTACATATTTCCTTTTTTATCGGATAACCTTTTGCAATTTTATGATTTGACACTCCTTATCGGCAAAAAACAACTAAAAGCTATTTTTGGTAATTTGCGTAAGGTTTCACATCCCAAGTAGCCAAAAATGTTTTGTCTTGTTCAGTCTTCGTAAAACACGATTAATAATTCATTTTAAGGATTTGACAGTTTTTCCTTGATTTTCTTCTGATCAGGTTTCATTTTCCGTTGACAGTAAGCACATGAACAAAACTTTAGGTTCCTTAGTTCCACCGAATTGACATCGTGATCCTTTTCAATGCAAATCGGCCCTCGATGTAATTGGTGCCAGTTCACCAAGTTTGGACCGTGGTGCCTTACTTAAGAAGCGACGGTGCAAATCCAATAGAGTGGTTGGATGTATTGTGTGACTTTACCACTAGCCATATGTTGAGGTTCTTAGCGATTTCAATGCATATTACACGATTTTAATTTCGTGTATGGTCGGTTGAATCCTTTGCAGCCAACCATACTAGATGGATCAGGATGTTGGTCTTCGTTGAGTGAATTTGAGAAATCACTACTGATTCGCACGTCCTAATAATCCATCAACACCGTCCACTTTACGCATACTTTTATGGGCCTCCTCAGCACTCTTGCTTTTACGAGAAAAAACTGGTTAAATTTGTCAAAAGTGTTCGTTTTGTCTTATTAGAATTGACGACTAGTACATATCAAAAAGGAGCACCAAGATTTACGATCGTTCTTCAAGATAACGCTTTCTGCCAGTGAAAGTGGAAATGATTTCCTTGCCAATTCATGAGAGTCAGTATTTGGTGTAACAAATTAAGTGTTGGAGACTAGGCGTAGGTGGGTAGCTTTTCTGATTTAGGTTTGGCTATCTGACCACAATCGTTGTCAATGGTAATGGTAATTTTGTTGAGCGGACCTGTGAACGTCTGTAGGCATTTTTTTACTACTCATTTGTTTATGTAAGCCCACACTAAGAACGCTTTTATCTTATTTAGCGCCTTAGTCCCACACCAATCATAATCCGTTGTTTACCTTGGCGGATTCTCTTCTTCCTTCGCGGTACCCCGGGGGGCAATCGCTCTGTCGGTTTCTTCCTTCAGTGTAACGCTGAGTGCGATTCTCCCACGTGGTACTGCCACGCACGAGCCAAACTCACTATCGTCGCTCAAAAGCCGGGCGCTGAGTCCTTAACTAAATTGATAGACCACACATTCTGCTCCAAGGAAAACGATTGGGGTTTTTCCTCGTTTATTTCCTGGACCGAAGTGATGGATCCGCAGCGCGGATTAGTTCTTCCTCCCCACAGTGACGACATTGATGTTGAAAAGAATGAAGGTGTAAGCTTTTGACAGCGTCCCTCCATTAAAATTCTTCAAAAGAGTTATCTGCGAAGCAAAATTATGATTTTAATTGTGACTGTTCTTTGTTGGTGGCATTTTTAACTGGACACCAGTTGGCAACATCGGTAATTCATGATCAAAATATTTTTCACGCTTACTGCGCTCTGATGCTATGAATCCAGTATGGTGGCGCGTCTCGACCAGTATTTTTCATACAGATTGTGGTTATTAGCCTTAACTACATAACCTTAAGCGACTGATGACACTCTAGCGTTTTTGATTCTTGTTACACATTAGCTTTTCGCGTATTGACTACATTACTCTTCCATTGGTATTACCCAAGTGGTTAAAGTGAGCCTTGAAATTCGGTCATCATGTTCCTATGAAACAGGGGACTTCCACATCCCAGAAATACTTGCGAGGTTTATAGCTAAATGTTAAGTGGTAGTGTGTTTTTAACCGGATTTGCCATTCTCTAATTTAGTCATCTGTTTCTACGGCACCCCCTGTTACCTCACAGCGCCGTTCAAGGTCTCGTTCAACATCGGACCACTTAATTTTGCCGGTCTCAATCCAACGAACCCGTCGACGTTCCGCCTCGGTTCCCCGCAGAAACCCTAAGGAGCCTCTGCACACGTCTTCGTCGTCAAAGTCAGCGCAATCTGAGGGACGCGACACTCTTGTCCTCCAAATCCATGTTTACGCTGATGCACCACATGGCGTGGACTGGGATTCCAAGAAATTTACGGGTTTTGTAGGTCTTCGCAATCAGGGTGCCACATGCTATATGAATTCATTACTGCAAGCCCTCTTCTTTACTAATGAACTGCGTCGCGCTGTCTTTTTAATGCCAACGGAAAGTGAGGACGTCAGCACTAGTATCCCATTGGCACTACAACGTGTCTTTTATGAACTACAGTTCAATGATCGTGCTGTAGGAACAAAACGGTTGACGCGAAGCTTTGGCTGGGAGTCGCTAGATTCTTTCATGCAGCACGACGCCCAAGAACTCTGTCGTGTACTTCTCGACAACATCGAGAACAAGATGAAGGGCACCTCAGTGGAAGAAACGATCCCGGAGTTGTTTAGAGGGAAAATGCTCTCTTACATAAGATGTAAGCACGTGCCCTGCGAGTCAAGACGAGAAGAGAATTTCTACGACATTCAACTCAAAGTGAAGGGTAACCGTGACATCTACCAAGCCTTTAAGGTAATGCAATATTGCCATTTTGAAGTCATTAGATGAACGTCGATATTCCTGTCCACGCATGTAGCTTAGGTATTTTGCCTCTTTGATTACTCGACCTGGTAGTCTTTGGAATTGTCTTTATTGCGGGCCAACTGATTGGCTCGGAAACTTGAATAATGTAAGTGTAACTGGTGCGCAAACACGTATTGATTAGTTACTAGTTTGCGTCCAGTAAGTCTGAAGACGTGTCTTGGCAGTACAGTAATGCACTAAAGGGAAGATCAATGGGTTTGTGTGAACGCTGGACGTAGAAAGTGTGACACTTCATGCTTTTTGAAATTATCACGTTGAATCGCTGGTTTTGATGACAATTTGTTTCACCGAATACTTCCCTTATTTGACCATAGATCTGCGGATCGTAGGGGCTATCTTATGCTGGTTTTTTGCAACTGATTTTGCCAATTTAGTATACTGCACTGGTCAACTCGGGTGATCAAATCAATTATCAGTGGCAATTTGAATCGCCTCATTTGCAAAAATCAGTTGACCGCATACTAATCTTTGTGTCTCATTTCTCGAATTGACATGTTCTCTATAACACCATTAAAATCCACAGACTTACCCATGTTTCGCTTGCTGTTCGGGATTTAATTGTTTATCAACGGGATTGGTAGGGCCACGTGCAATCGTTGAATATGGAATGAGAGGTTCCGTGTACAGGGTAAAATCCTAAAGCCAGTGGTATTCTTTTAAATTAGTTTCTTCTTCAAAGGAGGTTCTGAGGTGCAGTATGGATGCCTCGCAATTTTTTAAGCCTCGTGGATTTAGGACATTCAAATAGATACTGATAGTGGCTCATCCTCCCTTTCGGATTTCTTATCTGTCCTTTTAATTCTGGTATCTAAGCCTAACTCCCATTAAAGTGACTCCCTGATAAACTGGACCCTATTTGGAAGGAATTATTCAAGGTGCATAGTTTTTGCTGTTAATTGAATATATTCTTATAACTTCACTGCCTTTTTTGCAATTCATAGTGGTATTTAATGCGTTTGCATTCTAGGAATACACCACGGTGGAGACTCTGGCCGGTGAAAACAAGTACGACGCTGGTGAATATGGTTTGCAGGAAGCCGAGAAAGGTGTCGTATTTACCCACTTTCCTCCTGTTCTCTATCTGCAGTTGATGCGTTTCCAGTACGACTGCTTGACAAATGCAAACATTAAGGTGAACGACCGCTTTGAGTTCCCCTATCGCCTCCATCTCGACCGCTTTTTGAAGTCAGCTAACCCCACCGATCCAGCTGTTTACATTCTCCACGCCGTTCTAGTACACTCGGGAGACAACCATGGGGGCCACTACGTAGTCTATATTAACCCGTATGGGAATAACCGCTGGTACAAGTTCGACGACGACGTCGTCTCTCGGTCGTCGCGCCGTGAAGCTATTGATTTGGTGAGTTATAGCTAAGGCTTAGTAAGTCAAGTGACGATGTGCAAATGGCCTTTTCTCGTCTGACCTGCTAAGTCAACAATTCGTGCGAGGTTTTGTAATTGAGTCCATTTTTTGCGAAATTTTCTCCCAGTTGTGAATGCACCTTCTTCAACCTGACACCTATAAAGTCTCTTCTTCACATGGGTTCGCATTAGTTTGTCGATGGCCTCAACGTGTGGTCTCAAACCACACCGCGGCTACTACATTCAATGGGCCCGTTACGCTACACTGATGCCCACAAATGTCGAGAAGATTGGCTTATCAGGTCCTTTCGCATATATCAGGCTTGATTGTGTCTGTTTCCATCCTCTCAGTGGTCGCATTTCTCGTCACAACTGTGGGTTGTCATTTGGGTTTGTAGCGAAAGATTTTGGTCATATCACTTTTTGAAGGTAATGAATTTTAGGACTGAACAGTTTTTTCGAAAGATGGTCTAGGTATGCAAGAAGTGCGCTTATGAGGTTTCGTGTTTTTAGAATTATGGTACCTCAGACGATGAGCATGGCTACCTCTTCAAACACTGCACTAATGCCTACATGTTGGCATACATTCGCGAGTCGTCTCTTTCCCACGTCCTCAGACCTGTTTCTGTAGCAGACATTCCGGACACCCTTGTAGCTCGTCTAAAAGAGGAACGGCGTGTCGAAGCGGATCACCGTAGGGCCAAGGCTGAATCTCATCTGTACGCCTGCGTTCTCCTCGTTCTCGAAGAAGATTTTTATGGTTGGCAGGTTTGTGTATTTTAGCTCTTAGTCATTTAATAAACCGAATCGGTGTAAAAAACCTGAATAAATGTGTGAATCTGTTAATGAACCCATGCATTGAGTAATTTAAATTTATGACATTTGGTGACTTGACGACTTTTCTTGCCGTTGCTTTGGTGTTTTGCATAAGCATAGCAACTTTTATTTGACCTTTTCAAAACGATCCACGTGCTAACGTCAGTAATGGAGTGTGGTTTAGTTTCAGCTTATCAGGTCGAAGTCGTATTATTGCATTCGTCTTTCTAATCAGACATCAAATTAAATCAACGGAGCTCCTTATCTACTTCATTGCCACACTTGTACCACTGGTCTTCAACAATAATGTCAGACAATTTTAAGGGCATGGTAATGTGATTAGATTTAGTAGGGTGCGAATTTAACCACTTAGTGCATTCCTTTTCACTGTATATATAAAACGATGAATACTGTACCAAGGAATTCACCTTCCTACACCACACTATTCCAGGGCTTTGATGTCTGCGATCTCGAAACACTGCCTACACGCCGAGTTAATGTTCCAAAGACTTCTTCTTTGACAGAGCTTCTCGGTATCGTGGCTGCCTATATGCGAACAAATGCCAACCAAATTCGACTTTGGCGGGTCCAGACTAGGTATCTGTCAAATGCGCCTATTTATATCATATTTTAGTTTCCAGCCTTTGTCTCATAAATACAAAGTAAAAGATCAGTTCCTGTGACGGAACCCTTTCTGATTGACGTTTTAGTTCGCTCAAACTCATTTCCACAGTAATGTTCATATTGGGAGTGCGAAACGAACAGATATTCGCCACTGAATTAACTAACGTTATCCAGTTTCAAGTAAGTTTTAAAGAGCAGCGAGGGCCCCTAGTGCTAAACTTAGTCCCCGTGTTTCTCTACAGCTTTTGTCAAAAGCGTTGCCATTAGTGGAGAAACAGGGTAGATTAATTTGTTTTATTGCATTTCATTTTTGCGCAGTCGGCTCATTCGCCCCAGGTTTTTGATTTCCCGTTATTCCGTAGATTCTGTTTGTCTTTTTTTCCATTTTTAAGGCGTTCTGGTACGCTTCACTTCAGTCCCCTTGAGGCTCCTCCGTGTAACTCTTCCACAGCACAAAAATTTCATGTACAGAAAAACCAATCTCCCGGTCCTACCGTTGAGGATCCTATGGCTGCACTTACTGCTCTCACAAATTCATACCAACACAAAAGTGGCAATAAACTCCCTGCAAAAAATTCACGCCCACCCGCTGTCTGTGGAGACAATGTCGCATCTTCATCCACCAGTTTTCTTCCAGCCTCTGGCCCGTTGGCCGTTTGGGTGCAGACCATCTTCCCTGTTCCCGCCCTTGGACCCGCCCCCTTTGATTCGCGGACAGAAGTTCTTTGTTTTCTTAAGTTCTTCATCCCTCCCAGTAATTTTGCTTCACCTCTTCTTAATAGCAGTCAGCTGGGTACTTTGGCTTATGTCGGCTGGATTATTGTCCGTCTTGACTCGCCCATGCACTCTATTCTTCCGGATTTGTGTTCACGGGCATTCATACCACCCAGCAGCGCGCTATTTCTTTACGAAGAAACTGGTGTGGGGGATCTTCGCTCATTAACGCACCACATCGAAGGCTATACTGTCCGCCAGTGTCTAAATTGCAGCGACGGCTCCGAAGCCCTTATCCTTGTCTACCAACAGCGACCGCAGGTGAATGAGGATGGGGACGATAAAGGTGAAGAAACGGGTAGCTTGATTTCTGAACATGCGTCGCCACAATCTCGTGTTCCTCGCCCCATGATTACGGCAGTTAAGAACCGTTCCCAGTCGGTACAATGCAAAATTACTTCTCGACCTCGTCTTACTGCTAGCAAACTTTTGTTGCGCAGTAAGAGGATGATTCGCGGTCGATTTCACCAACAACGCAGCCACGATGATTCACGCCAATCTACAAAACGTCTGCTTCCCGTTAGTGTACGCAAGCAGCGGCTGAGGGTGCAACCAGCACAGACCGTTTCAACGCCACCGATGGGTTGTTCTGTGCCTCAGTTTGCTCCTCAATTTTATCGCGAACTTTTGACTCGTGTGTCGGTGGACTTTTACGAGCTACGCTTTCCCTGGCATTTGCTTCCTGGTTTGCGTCGTGTCGAACCTGCAACTGGAATTGTTATCCCTTTATCTATGGGGGATCGAACCCTATTACCAGGCATTCCGTTCTGTGGCGGAAACAAAACCTTTCCAGCTAGCCTTCTTCTCGAACCGACTACTTTTCGTGCTCAGGTGCCGAGCTTTAATGCGCTCATTTCGCCTCGTCATTCATATGCTCACCTCGCTTCACTGGTTGCTAGCTATTTATCTGCACCGCCCAGTTGCATCCAGTTTTTCAATGTTTCAACTGCTACGACGGCGACTGGCGAGCGAGAATTTACTGCAGTTTCCCATTCGCTAAGCCTGAGCTTACAAGATATTGTAGCGCAGCAATCATCTCCACAACAGCGTCACAAGACGAATCAATTGCTTGCGCGGAAAGGCATAGGCCCCATACAGCTATATTATCAGCTTCTGGCGTTTCCCACTGAGTGCCTAGAGGGTATGTGTCAACTAAGATGCGTTTTTGTGGATAGTAGACGGCTGCGAGAGGTCGTTCGCCTCACACTTCTTGTGCCACAACTGTGGACAGTGAGTCGTGTGCTCCAGTTGGCTAACGAGGAACTAACGAGGGTAGGCATTATAACTAGCAACAAGATCGATGATAGTGAATTATCTGAAGAAAATGAAAGCGGCTTAGTCTCACCTCTTCGACAAATGCCTCTCAGAATGTTCGAAACACTCAACTCGTGGATAATACAGCAGTATGCCCCTGAACAAGTTGCTTCAAGGCTTCAGGTAGGTATGGCGATTGCCTAATCTGCTGTCGCATTTACCGTCCTTCTGATACCGATTATTTGTGCATTATACTTCCTAATTTCCTACAAGTACTCATCTGGGACGTGGACTTGGATATCATCGTCAGTAATGAAATGTTTGGTATCGCTATTCGCTAATCGGTAACTTGCTTGGTGCTAACACCAGGCTGTACTAACATTAATTGATTCAAATTATCGGTGGAAACAATTTGGCAATTACTATAGTTATACCTTAAGGTTCCTGTCCCCACCATTTGCTACGACATGAAAACCGATTAATTTCACCTTTCTCCCTATGTCTTGATTTTTTAATTGACACGTGCCTCGTGAACCCGATTTCCATCGTCATTCTTCTCTATTCAGTCTTTGTAAACAGAAATCCATATTTTAAAACGCTTCATCGTGCACTCAGTAGTTTCATGACTTATTGACCGCACTGGTGTTTGCAAAGGACATGGGTTTCCAATGCACAAATATTGACTTCATGTGTTAATTTAGTTGATTTCTTCTGACCTGGAATCCTAATTAGTGATAATCTTTATTTTTAGTGTCATTGTTCGCTCTTATTTACTGGCAAGCATACCTACCGTGCTATTCTTAAATCCTATCGAATCTAATATAACCGTTAGTTTTTTAGTAATACATCTGATTGTGGTTATTTTGCGTGCCAAATGTAATTTTTTTGCGTATCTTTGCCGTTATTTATAGCTTCTGGATAACCGTATCCTTCGAATTGAGACGATTCCTTATGACGAACAGGAGCTCGTGGATGTCCATCAAGGCCAAGCCGGATCGTCCTTGTTTCTGCTTAGTCAGCTGCCATCGTTAGGGGACGGGGATGAGTCTTTGGGCTTGGCCTATCCCCTCCCTTCTCTCTCGCATGACACCTCTCTGTCTGTCGCCACTCCGAGGAGTGTCGTTAAGAATACAGGCAATGAAGACGATGAAGAAGATGACGAGGATTATGATGTGGACGTGGAAGATGACGAAGAGGATGAAGCTGCCAGCAATGAGGACCACGCGGATGAGGTGGAGGGGGACGGGTCTAGCAGCGGTGGTGCCGACGCAAACAACTTCAGTCTCATGAGCAATGGAGATGAGGACGCAGAAGAGAATGACGAAGAAGCAGCCGATGATGGCGAAAGTGATCCTCTCAAAGTCAGTGTTTTTAACTTTTGTCTGTTTTAACTGTTTTTAACTTTGTTGCCCGTTTGCACCCCTACTCATTGTATGTTTTGTTAGGTGCCACATTCTTAGTGTATTGGCTGATTATGCGATCTTCCGACTCACTTTTAATGTGAGCCATTTCTCCATCTTTGCCGTATCTTTTCCGCTACCTTACTTAAGGAAGCATGAAGTCACAAGAATGCTCTTTTGTGAGAAGTGCATATTTAAACTGTTTTAATGGTTAAATACTAGTGGTTGCAAGTTTGAAAAACATGAGTCCTCTAGGTTTTGTTGGATGGTCTATACGATTGCGATTCGGTCTACTTAATGAGGAATAACTCTTCAGAAAAACGTGCAATAATTTCACCATAGGGGACTTTTTAATTGTCCGAGAGTATTAAAACCTGGTAAACCGTGGAATTAAACGCGGTTGATGTTACGGTTTCTTCAATGTTACGACAGATAAATTCTCCTAAATGATCTCTTTGATTCACCAGGTCTTTCTAATGGCGCTACCGTGTGTGTTGGCACTTTGAAATGCCTCTCGTTCATTGGAACAGTTACAAATCATGACCATATAAAGATAATAATCGGGTCACGGATGTGAATCGAGGATGTATGTGCGTCGGGTGTATCCGATTGATGCTCTGTATGAATTATCCAAAATTGTATTATAGCGTCGTTCGTACGAGTTAGGTGGAAAAATCGCTTCTGTTTACATTGCCAATAGTAAGAAAGCGCCTTGAAAAAAGTCGGTTAGCAAGCCTTAACATTTGTACAGAAGGTCGTTATTTGCATGCGAAAGTAGTACAGTCGTGTTATTGTTTTTTACTGCTTGGGGTAATGTACAATAAGATCAGAACTGGTTTTTAACCGAAAGTACATTCTAGACGGAAATGTCTCAGGAAATTATCAGCGCGGATATGCACTTTTAAGCATTCACGTTGCCATTAAGTATGGTAAATCGCGGTTACTTCGTTTTTGAGATAAAGGCGTAAGTAGTTTTTTTGTGTCCGTAATACGTTTTATTATTCTATTACGTCACAGATACTAAATGACAGTGGGCTGTTTTAAGCCTACCTATGATTTGCAAGCAGCAATTATATTTCCACATATTGCAAATTAGTTCTAAATGAGCAAGAGATTGCATTAGTAGTAATGATGCTTACAGGGTTTGTCAAATTCATTCAGCTGCGTATTTCTTGAAACTGTGGTTTCCCTATGACAGTCACGTAAAGGGCAGACTTTGGTCTCATTTCGTTTTTTGTCGTTAGTTACTCCGACAGGATTCAAGTGAAGAAAACGATGTTCCGGTAGTTCAACGTTCGACGCGCCCTTTGGCATTAAATTGCAGTCATATTGCAACTAATATTGCCTCCCGGTACTCCGACGACGAGGATGGAGAGGAAGATGGAGCCATTGACTCCGCCGACGACCAAGAATTAGCTTCGCCAAGCCTCGATGCCTCTTCTCAATCGAACACCCCAGCCAGGGAACCGATTCCTCCTGATTCGTCTCTTGTGGTAGCCTGTGGTCTCTTCTACCGCGAACCAGGTTGTGGAGCCACATCGACTGGAAGTCTGCCGTTCACACTCGTGTTGCGTCACAGAGAGCCGATTTCCAGTCTTCTCGAGCGCCTTCGTGTGCGCCTGGGCGCGCCTCAAGACGCAGTGAGCAAGTGGCGTCTTGCTGTTCTTCCGGGACCCATCCCACCTAGCGTCGCGGCTAAGCTCCCACTGATGCCGTCCCAAGAAAGCATTCTCCGCATGCGTTCGGCCTACAGGTACTTGCAAACAGATACCGATGATGGAGTCGTGGACTTGGCGGCCTTTTGGCCCGCACCATCTCTACGCCGTTGCGGTGCGAGAAGTGCTCAGTTGCTTTTCGGTTTGCGACCCTGGCTGGGTATTGAGATTCCCGCACCGTCTATACCCTCCCACAAAGGCGTTGCTGCAGCAATGCTGGCTACCTCGACGCTTCATCCCCAGAAGCCTGGCTCGATTGCTGGTAAAAGAAGAGCTGGTGCCACTGGAGGGAGATATGTGCTTTCAGAAAAACCTATTCGAATACTTAATTGACCGAGTGAGAACTGGGGTGGATGTATGCCCTGTGTCTTTTGTGTACATTTGAAGCTTCCCTTCTTTTTCCCCTTGAGAAAGATGAAATTTGTAAGCAAAACATGTTCCATTGATTTCAGGTGCAATTCTAATCGAAAAGTTGATGTGGGATTGTTGTTGCCGCGTGTGCAATAGTGATCTTAGATCCTGGAAATGATGGAACTGCGGCTGCCCCTACTTTTTCAGGCGCAAAGTTGGCATTTGTAACGCAATAAAACGAGACAAGGCTGCAAAAGTGCCTTTCTCATCAATGATCTTGTCCTTGTCCCGTAGTAGTATTAAATAGTCAAGGACGTGGCTTGAAATTCGAGCAAATAGCATCGTGGGATAAGACATTTAAGCCCCTGAGTGTGCCACTGTGGTCAGAAAGATCGTGGTCAGTTGATTCCGGCTTCAAAAATAAATGGATTTGTGTACAATATTTACGAAAGTGCTGGATATTGCATTTTACAATCGGTTGTGCGGCAAGCGTGAACTAAGTTGCCAGTTGTAACTAGACCTCTAAATGTCAATGATTGTTACTTTGTCCTTGTCAAGCGTTAGCCGTGGCTGCATTTTACTTATTATCGACACCAGTTGTCTTTTGCCCTAAAGTGTAGAGGTTTAATGCTGGCTCACAGATCCTAGACCTTCGTCCTAAGGTAACAGCGGCAACGCCTCGACGTTGGGTGGTGAAGACCGGGTCTTGTCACCCACGGCCATTCATATCTTTGCCTGAAACGCTGATCCGTTTGTCAATGAATTCGTAAGAGGGCGGAGGTTTTGACGCAGGTGCCCTTTCTCTTGTGTCGGTCACCAAATCATTGTCGAGATGGTCTCAGTTTTCGTCTGGCCATCTAAAGAAGCTTACAAACACAGTTAATTAAGAGGAATGGTTGTATTTATTAAATGAGCCGTCCATCGAAGCAGTGTCCTGTCATGGTTACTCCCAAAATACCTACTTCCGATGACGAAATCAGTGTGGCCATGTCCACCAATGTTGACATTTTATTCCGCTTTCGTTTGCATAAAAGAATTAAGATGCTTTGTTAGTACGATGAATGGATTTCTTGAGCATCGATGTTCTACCTCCCTCAAGTTTGAGTATAAACTTTTTTTAATGAAATCGTGGTCGTCCCGTGCTACCCGCTTTGAATTCTAACGCCGCCGTCTTTTGGACAACTAAGAGGTTCTGTGAAGACGGGAAAAGGCGTTCGCGTTTTTGTAATACGTGAAGAAACATGTAGCGTAGCACTAACCAAATCTGTATGAGCACCTGTGCTTTACACCAAAACCCTCCAATATTTTCGTGGGGATATAATCAAGTCCTTTGGAATATGTGAAATCATCGATTGTCAAAAGTACGTTGCCGAGTGCAAAACATTGTTGGCACCCTTGAGTCAGTGAACACTACGTGTGCACTCTTTTAGTTTTTTTTAAATTCGAGCAGAGCAACGCGCTGATGGTCCCGAGAAATCATTCAGACCAGTTGTGCGTATATTACAATAAATATATATTCTAATGACCAGTATTCAAATATTAGTTAAAAAATTGATGGAATAAGCACCCATGAGTAGCGAAAATTAATCAGTCGAGTAGTGAAATAAGGTTCTCGTGGAATTTGTACTGCGCGAACTGTTAGAACAGAAATTATGGAAACGCTCAACTTATGAAAATAGTACCCTTTGCTAAAACAAATTTATTGTTTTTTCTCATTTAACTGAAAGAAATTGTAGTTACAACTACGAATGCTAATTTAGAAGCATCCTACATTTCGTCTTTTATCAAAACTGGACTCCTTTGTATTTTGCATGTACTTTCGCTTTTGGCCAAAATAACTTTTAACTAGCAGCTGATTCTTCACTTTGATGATGTTAAACCAGCAAACGGAATACCCTATAACTTGGATTTTCTCTAAATATTTAAAAATCAGGCTCCCGGTAACGACACTTTCACTTCTCATTCGTGTACACCTCCCAGTAACATCCTATAAATGACCTGTCGGCAAAAAGCCCGTTTGGGCTCCACCATTTTAAGGATTGGCCAGAATACTTAAGGGGTTAGCAATTGCCAAGTCTCAGGTTGTGTAGTTAGTAAAAATAATTATTTTTCTCTGAGTTTTTTAAAAATAGCATAAAATTATCCTATTTAAAATGTATAATGTAGTTGATTAAACTGGTTACCCTACAGAGAATTTAATTCGCCTACTTGTTGGTGACTCAGATTTTTGCTAAAAGGTTTTTTCTTAACAATTTCTTGAAAAATGTGCCTTAATAATACATTCACGTCAAATAATTTGCTTTCGTACACCTTGGTGGATTGTTGATGGTGTTGACATTTGGGAATGGGAAGCCAGATCTTTGCCTCATGTAAACTCGATGCTGCCAACATGTCCAATCATCCAAGACTGCTTCGATTTCACTAAGAACCCATTTGGCTTCACCGACAATTCCAACACGTCCTAAGGGACTAATATTAACGTCTCCAAGGTCAAAGTTACCCACTAGACTGAAACGATATCGGCTTTGTGACCACTTAGGCCTTTACTGGTCATTCAATCATGAAATCATTTTACCCTATTTTTAGCCTACCTTTTCAATATTTTTGATGGTTTAACTCTGAATTTTTATGTAGGTGAGCGCTTGGGCTTACAGGAGCGGAATTCATTAACCTGAGAAAAAGTAAATTTTTGACATGTAAGGAATACCTTTTGATCTCCAGTAAAGTGAGTTAGTATATTTAAGTAAATCAAAAATTTTTCCGATTTATTATGCGCAGAAAGAGCGTCTTAAAGTCAGCAGTAGCAATATAATTAACTCCAGCTTTGGAGCCTCGTGACTGCATAGGTTATTCCTTTTTTGATATAAGTCTCATGGACATTGCAGAGTTTATTGTGCTGCCATCTCTTTCATAATGATCTTGAGCACGTATTGAAAAATGACCTGTAAGCCAGATTCTGTATTTAATTACAGCTATCAAATACTATCGCTTCCACTCTAAATTTCCTGTCTTGTTGTTAGTGTTTGTGGTGCTCATGGCCTCACCTTGTCATCAATACTTTCCTCTTGGCCTTCAGCCACGCCCACTAACCAACGAGCTAATCAAAATGCTAGTAACGCCCGTCGCCAGTGTAAGCCAATGAAATAATCTGTTAGGGCGATTGCGCGCATGTGTATGCATCTCAAGTTGCATTAAACCGACTCGACGCTTGTGTCGGACTGGCCGTCAAGTCCAGCTCTCCGTGATGCTCAATGGTAGTCCTTCTGACTTGGACATAGTAGTTTGTATATCCCTTGTAGGAGAAAATAATGTCATCTGAGATCAGTGTTAATCGTGACAGAAACCTAGAGTCACCTGGTCCTTCTGAAATTGTTTTGCGCGAGAGCTTGCCGTCATTTCTAGATACTATTACGGAGGAAGAAGAGGACCGATCATCTTCAAATTCTGAACCAAGTGAAACCGATTCCATGCAGCATCATTATTTTTCACTGGATCGGCCTAGTTCAGATACCGACTTACTTGAAGCTAGAAATCTTGTCGCGGACCTAGAGGGATGTAATTGGTACGTTAGACTACCGTTCCCACCAATCACGAGTATCGATCAAAAAGCAGACAAGTTTAAGACTTGTGCACCTCGTCCCAGGTCACCAAGGTACCCATTTCCCCTGAGTTTTCTCACTGAATTGAAAGAATGCGGCCCCCGTAGAGTGCGACAACCATCTGAGCCTATTCATCCCGCTTCACGTTCATTTTATTTTTATTTGAAGAAATCAGTCTCAAGAAGTCTGCCTTCTGTGCTACTACATTCCGAACCTCGTTCCTCACAAAGAAACTTTTCAGCGAGTCACACTTGCATGAAGAATGGGATGCGCAACACAATTAACTCTTGGGCTCCATCACCGACTAAAACGCAATTACGCGCTCTGGCTGAATGGACGCCTTCCTCACCAGGAATAACCACGATAGCGGATGGGCCACATATTGATGCAAGCTCGTGCTTAATTCCATCCCTGTATGCAATCGCTGTGGACTGCTCTGCGAACACCGAGGAGGACGCAGAACGCATATTTCAATCTTCACTCTTAAACGGCAAATCTGATGCCTTGCACGGCGCACAACAAGTGCTTACAATTAGTACAACTAAAATGAAGCGATCCCCATCCATGGAAGAGGTTTGTATGTTCCTCGGTGGAAACACTTCAGTCCAGAACAATCTTTCATCCAATTTAGACGAGCCACAAATCTATGATAGCTCAGCAGAGACGTTTCCTCATTCCACAAAAGACAGCTTTTCCACCTCAGTTTCGAGTCTCAGTGAGCGATACGTTGAGTATCCACCGGTCAAACCACGGCCAATTTACGACTACGGCACGGATGAATCATTCTTGGAGATATTTATGACGCCTGCTGTTGATAACATGCAATGTGGAGAAGACGATATAGCAGGTACACCTCCAAGTGTAGACGATTTCAAAGAACACAGTTCAAAACAAAGATTCAAACTGTCGCCATTGGAGAATTTGGACAGGAGTTTCGTTTGGAGAGATTCTTGCAGAAAAAGCTGGAAGAAATTGCTTAAAGTAACTGACAACTCCTTCCACTTCTACAACGAAGAGGATTTTCCGTTTATTGATCAAGAAGGATCATACACTGAGGCCTGGTACATCACGGATGATCAGCAATTCCCTTGGCTGGATAGGGCACAACTTGCAGATTTTGATGAGGAAACCTGGAGTTGTGGTGAGTGCTAAGAACCCGTTTCAGATCCAAGGCCCCGCTAACCTCTAGTGGTGAACATGGCAATTGGGGTTAATGGGGTTTGCAGCGATGAATTAGTCAATTAATGGATCCATGGAATTGCGGAGCTAACACATGCTATGAGGGCCTCGATCAAGCTAATTAATCTGTGTGATTCTATGCCTATCAAGATCAATTTACCGTCACGGAAAACAACAGTGTAGGGATGACAATCTGGAATACTG